CGTAGAGGCGACGGCCGCGAAGCTGCGCAGCCCAGGTTTCCAGCCGGGCTCCTTTTGCGCCCGGGTTCCAGCATGGCTGCCCCCAGGGCTGCGGCCTGGGAAGTCGCCGCGCTCTCGCTTTCCTGAAAGTCCATGGCTTCTGTGCTCTCCTAGTCATCCCCGGGCCACCCTAGCAGACATGTTTGCCAAGGCCTTTCGGGTCAAGTCCAACACGGCCATCAAGGGGTCGGACAGGTGAAAGAGGGGCGGGACCTGCTCTGCCCATCAGGGTACCCACCTATCTCTCGGACCCAGGTGGTCCACAGCCCTCGCTGGGCTCGGTCAGCCTTCCTGGGGAGGAAGCCGAAGGGTACAGCGCGGGAAGGGGCCCAAGGGGAAGGGAGCGTGAGGCACGTTTTGAGGGTAAGGATGGAGGCGGGGAGCCTGATTTATCTTCCAGGTTATGGTTTGGATATTTAAGTGAGTTTAAAAGAAAACGTGATTTAATCAGCATTTACTGACTGTAAACTATTTAAGGTGCTGTGAAGGATGCAGATATGAAGGGATGCAGGGCCCCTGCCCTCCAAAGAAATGAGAGCCCCTTGGGTGAGATCAGATGGGGTTATGAGAACTAGAAAGTACATGATAAAGCTGTCTAGTAATTACTTCTGGCAAGAGAGACAACTGGAGAGCAAGGGGAAAGAGGAGAAGGCACACGTGGTAAAGAACTATCTGTTTAGACGATCACAAATGCAGATATGGTATTGGGAATTTTGGAACCACTGTTGTCATTCCTGGTGCCCTGTTTCAGTATTCAATTGTAAGCCGACAGACTTGTCAAGCATGTATGGGAAAGGAGTGGATCTGAGAGGTAGGCATGAGTCAGGAAGGCAAAACTGAGTATTATTTTTTTTTTTTGTAAATTTACCAAAAGGTAAGTGCACTCACCAGAGAGAGAGAAAGAGGGGAAGGAAAATGCACTCCCCAATGTGGCATGGTCATGCTGCAGCATCTCCATTTCTCCATCCTTTGGAGATTTGGGGCATGCATGCACATGCCCCTGATATGCTTCTTAAGCCTTGGGATCTGGCCCAGAACCCTAAGGTCAACCATGTGGGATCTGGCTCCTTCAACCACTAGGCCAGAGGATGGTGGAAGGAGCCCAGGGACTCAGCCCAGGGCCGAGTTTTCTATGTCAGGCTAACTTGGGTTGCTCATAGGGACTTAATTTTCCAATCTGAAAATGGGATAAAAGGGTCCCAGGTATGTGTGAAAATAAATGAGACTCTGGAAAGAGACTAGGATGTTTTGGAAGAGTGTGTGAGAATAGGGCATCATAACCAGGCAGTCTTTCGTAGACCCTTATAATTTTCTAGTGAGACCTCTACATTCTTGAGATTTGTTAAAGTTCATCCATGCAGCATGCATGATGCTGGTGTGCTTTCTGCAGGAGAAAGCTTCGGGCTGATGTGGCAACTGCTTTCCCCACCCTGGGGAGCAATCAGGTCTCTGAGTTAATACCAGGAAAGGAGGAGCTCACCATTGTGAAGTTGTATGCTCACAGAGGGGATGCAGTGACTGTGTACGTGAGTGGCAGTAACCCCATCTTATTCGAACTGGAGAAAAATCTGTATCCAACAGGTATGGCAACAGGATGGAGATGGCCATTCTTCTAATCCTTTCCTAGCATCTGTTTCTATTTCTCCCATTAAGCTGCTTTCCATAAAAGAAACAAGCAAAAATCTCCCACTACCATCAGTAAGGATCTTTGTGCACCTAGAGTCCTTAGAATTGGGTCTTTCAAGACCAAATTAACTGCTATAGGAGGGAAGGGAAAAAAGGGCCAATGGAGAAAGAGAGAATGGCTGCAAAGGGAGCTTCTGAGAGGAAGGAGCAATGAATGGCTGAAGAATGTGCATTGGGTTAACTAGGGGTAGAGCAGAGATCTTGAAAAAGATGGCATTTCAGGATATGTAAAAAATATCTCATATCAGCAGGATTTTTTAAAGATTCTGACGTGAGAGACTGTGATAGAAACAGAGATTCTTTCTTAGGGTCCCTTTGGCTCTGTAGGATTCTTTGCTTTCTCTCTTTATCTCAGGGACTCGAGACAAGACTTTCATTTTCTCTTTTCTGTAGCTGCTAGCACCCACTTTGTGACTTGCAGCTTCTCTTCCTCCAAGTTGGCCATGACGATACAATGCAGTCTCCTCAGGCCACTATTTTTGTTTGTTTTCTGAGAAGTTTTTGCTATAGAGTGCATGCACTTGCCAGAAAGAGAAAGAGAGATAGAAAGCAAGAAGTCACCCCCCAAGGATGGCCACGCCACAATCCCATCTTCTCCATTCTCTCAGGATTGTGGACATGCACGCACATGCGCCTGGTGTGAGTTTAAGGCACCGGTTCCGGGACTTGAACCGTGGTTGACTACATGGGAGTCTGGCTACATAGCCATTATGCCAACTGCTAGTTCCTATTCAGGCCACTCTTAATCTACTCCCATTTTTTGTACTATATATGAAGACAAACACAGAACTTTTTCGATCTAAAGGTTTTACAGTTAATTGCTATGGAAATTGGGGATCAAACTGATAAACCTAGGAAAGATTCACAATTTCTTACAGGCTGGCTCCCTGTTCTTGGCTTACTTGCTTCTGAAATCACATATGGAAGAATCATTGGTTTTTCTGCCCCCCCTTTTATCCACTGTGACTGTTTTTTGCCATTGCAGCCCCAATGGAACAGTAAATGCCTGTGAGTCTCAAGTGATGTCCAGTTTCTGCCTTGCTTATTGTGAAACCTCTTTGGGCAGCCACTTAACAGCCTCTTTCTAAATCTGAGTTGAGTTTATTGTCTATATTCTAATTAAAGTGATCAGAGTGTTAGGCTTTGCTAGTTCCCTAGGGGACTGGCATTTTTGGAGTAAATATTTTGTGGGTCTCTTTGTACAGTGTACATGCTGTGGTCCTATCCCGATCTTCTGCCAACCTTCACAACATGGCCTCCGGTACTTGAAAAACTGGCAGGGGGAGCAGGTAAGAGGATTTCCCTGTATTCTGGCTATGGGCCGAAATCTGCTTATTAAGGGGCCACCTGATTTACTTGCCAGGACCAGCTTGACTGAATACAGTTTTTTGAGTGGGGAAGGCTGTGGATTAGAAATAAACACAACAATAAACACATAAAGACACACAAGTATAGAAAAGTGAGGAGTGGGTGGGCCTGACGAGAAAGCCAGGACCAGGAACCAGCCTCAGGTTTATTATTTTATAGGGCAGAAGATGGGGGAAGAGGAAATGGAATGTAAAGCCAGTTGTTTTGACATGTTAATTAGCTGAATTAAATGAGAATGACAGGCACCAAGTGAATTTTCTGGCCTTTTGGGCTGATTTTGATAAATACACGTGACTTCCTTTAGTCTCATATTGCCCTGCAGTATCCCGCTCTCCACATCTATTGATACTCATTTCCTGGGTAGATATGGTTAAAAATTGGATCCCCCCTCCCAGTGTGTATTACAACTCTTATTTAATTGGTTCTGGGCTCTTTCATCTCTTTGACCCTGTTGTAAAGGCTTAACTAAGACAAGTGATGTAAAAGTACTTTAATAACTGCCATATACTATGCTTTCAGTCGGTAAGCTGAATTTTTAGGAAACCAGGACGAGAGAGATCTTGGTATTGGACACATCTGGTACTTCTGTTTGTCCACTAGCGAGAGGCAGTGGGAGAAGATCTAAGACTTACATTGCCATTTTCCATTTTCAGTATGAGTAACATAGCTGATACGTAATAAATGTTTCTTTGTCAGGTGAATGAATAAATGATGAAGTAAAACTTGGACTTAGGTGGAGGCAGAACGTGGGTTGTGATGCTTTTGCTTTTTTGCTGCAGATTTGATGCTGCCAGGTGTAGTGGTGCCCCCTGCTGGTCTCCCTCAGGTCCAGAAGGGCGACCTCTGTGCCATTGCCCTGGTGGGGAACAGGTATTGTGCCAAGCAGCTGTGTCTGCAGGGGGGTGGTGGAGGTGGGGACTGACAGGGGAGGCGGAGGGGAATGACAGCTTCCAAAGCTATGTACACAGGATTGAAAGAAAAAAAGTAGGTTCTTCTTGAAGAAGCAGAGAGTGGGCCACTGGGGAAATGGCAGGAAGCCTGTGGGGTGCCCATACATCTGGGCTGAGTGTGTTTGCTGCCCTTTTTTTTTTTTTTTAACTTTAAGAAAATAATAAATTTAGATTTACAGAACAGTTTCAAAGATAGAGTTCTGATATGCTTTTTAATCAGCTTCCTCTCAAGGTAGCATCTTATATAATCACAATATAGTTACCACTGTAAGGAATTAACACTGATAAAATTTGTTAACTAAACTTCGGACTGTATTTGTATTTCCGCAGTTTTTCCGCGTACCCGTTTTTCTCCATCGAAGGATTCAATCCAGGATACCATCTTGCATTTAGTGGTCATGTGTTCTTCGTCTCCCATCTGTGATATTCTCTCAGTCTTTCCTTGTCTTTCATCACTTTCGTGCTCTTTTCTATCATCCATATCATCCTTATCTTCTATTATTTTTTATTAATTACTTTTAATTATTTTATTCATGATAGAGAGTGTGTGCATGCATGAGAGAGAGAGAAAGAGAAAAGCACTCTTAAGAGGGAGTCTCGTCATGCTGAAGTCCTCTTCCTCCAGCCCTCAAGTCCGTTAAGATCTTGGGTGTGCATGTGTGTACCTGGAGTGTTTCAGGTCTCCCGGGCCTGAAATCTGAACCTTCAGTCAGCCTGTGGCTTTCAGCACTGCATTTTGGTTTGCTGTCCACTGTACCATAGAGGTTGAACTCTCTTAATCATTTATTTATTTAAATATTTAATTTTATTTATTATTGTTTTAAAATTTGTTATAGGGCATGTGTGCCCTTGAGAGAGAGAGAGAGAGAAAGCAGAGAGAGAGAGAGAGAGCAAAAAAGTAAGCCTCCAGGTCTGGGACTTGAATCACAGTCGGCCTTGGAAGTCCAGTGCCCTAATCATCACACCACCTGCTGGCCCCCTCTTAATTATTTCTAATAACTTTATTGGGATAGAGTTTATATCCCATGAACTTTACCTTTTTCGTTTTAGGTTTTTGCCATAGGGCACATGCACTCACTAGAGAGAGAAAGAAAGAGGGAATGTGAGAAATCACCCCATAGGGGATGGTCATGCTATAGTCCCTTCTCTTCCGTTCTCCTTCTGGGATTTTGGGCATGCATACACAAGTGCCCAGCATGAGTTTCAAGCCTCCAGGTACAGGATTCCAACCACGGTTGGTCATGTAGGGGTCCAGCACCTTTAACTACCATGTCACTTGCTGCCCTCCCAGAAATGCACCTGTTTTAAATTAGTGACTTTTAAAAATATATTTACAGAGCTGTTCAACTATCACTGTACTGTTTTTTTTTTTTTTTTTTTAAAGTAAATTAGAGGGGTCAGCAGTTAGCATAATGGCTGTGTCGCTGTACTCCCACGTAGTCGACCGTGGTTTGCGTCCCAGACCGGGTAGCTTAAAACTCACGCTGGGCGTGTGTGCGTGCATGCCCAAGATCCCGAGAGGAGAATGGAGAAGGGATTATGGCGTGACCATCCCCTCTGGGGGGGGATTTCTCACTTTCTGTCTCTCTGTCTCTCTCTGTCTGTCTGGCGAGCACACGCGCCCTATAGAGAAAACCTCCCCAAAAAAAAAAAAAAAAAGTAAATTAGAAAGTAATTATATGAATAATTCTGAAAAATGGAAAACCTCCTCACCCCATAATCCTTTTCTCCTAGAAGTAACCATTATCAATGGCTACTAATAACAATGTATACTCTTGCTTTCCTTCTTCAGTGCACTAAAAATACAAACAAAATGATACAGTATATGTGTTCTTTTTTTACGTACTATAGTGTGGGCAGTCTTTCATGTCAGTACAGGTCCTCCAAATCCTTTCATCTGCTGTGTGGTGACTGAAGAGGTCTTCTGGTAGACACTGGGATTGCCCCAGCTATCTCTTACAGACTTTACCTTATTGCTATCTCTAAGGATACCAGTGCCAATATTTTTCTAGAGTAGATACTGAAAAGCATAACTGTTAGATTAAAGATGATAACCATTTTCTGTCTTCCTGCAAAAATCTGGATCCGTTTTTCACTCCTACCTGTAGCATATTTGAAGCTTATTTCTTTACCTTCTCACCAACACTAGCTATGAGGAGTCATTTTATTTATGTCATCCTGGTGAGTGAAAAATAACATCTTGGGGTCCGCAGGTGGAGTGGGAGTTAAGATGGCTAGATTAAGGTGGCTGGATCCCACATGGCTGGCTGTGCAGTTGGAGTCCTAGACCCAGCAATGTGAAAAACACTCCCCGTGCATGTTCACACACTCTAAAATCCCAAGAAGAGAAGGGATTTCGCCATGGCCATGCCCACTGAGGGGTGATTTCTCTCTCTCGCTTTTTATCCGTCTCTTTCTGGCAAGCACACATGCCCTGTAACAAACAATGGAAAACTGGAAAAAGTTTAAAAATCTCATTATTTTAATCATTGCTTTATTTGAGAGAGAAGGAGAATGAGTATAGGCAGCAGAAGGGTCCGTTTTTAGAGATCTGTTGTTTGTTTATCTCAGTCATGAGAGAACACATGGTGGTGTGGGTGTGTGTGTGTGATGGCAGGTGTGGAAGAACCAAGGACAGGCACCTCTGCAGGATCTTATCACATTCTGTCCCCTTCCTTCCTCCGCCAGCTTTTTGAGATCTTGTACACGCATGCACCCGGGGTATTTTCAGGTGGGCTGGAGATCTGAAACCGCGGTTGGCCGTATGGCTTCCCCATTACAGTCCAGTACATGACTGCCTGCACCACTGAGGCTGGGCCAAAATACCTTATTTTTGCTACTCATATTCTTCTGTTTTCCTTTTACCTTTTGGAACCAAGTGCCTAGAAACCTTTCTTGTTTACCCGTAGCAGAAATTATAGTTGAAAAGACTGACAGTGTCATAATTTTCACCCCCCGCCCCGTCAATAGTCTACCCAAGATGTGAGGAAATGATACAAATTGTTATTTGGCCTGTTCAGTGTAGTCTTTGGAGGGTATTGGGGATGGAGATTGGGGATGGTTTGTAGTGGAGGTAGGGCAAAAGGAGTTTGTTAAAAAATACAAGTCACGTTCAAGGCTGGAGTTCTGTAGTCCCTGATCTTTTCAGGGGGCGGACGAAAAAGACCCCTCTTTTAGGAGGTGAGAAAGAAGCTGCATTGAAAGTTTCTATGGCAGGACTTGACCTCTAGGAAGTCAGTGGAGCTACCAGTTTAGTGCAGATCGTCCCAGTTCAGGTGTTGGGAAGGCTGTCTGTGCCTCTCCTGGGGGCCCAGGCTACTTCATCAGGTGCCCGTGATTCCCCTGTTATCCCGCTGGTCACCTGCCTTACAGGCAATAAGAGACCAATGAGGAACAGGACTGACAGATTTCTCATTTGGGCTTTGAGAATTTTGGTGTTATTATAAATATGTTCTTATATTGTGTTATAATATAAAAACACCCAGGTTTTAGAGTCTGACATCCAATTCTTGGATGTGTCATGGCACAGAGCAGCCCTGTGTAGTCACCTGAAAGAGCCTCTCTAGTTGGTTCTGCTGTTTACGCCTCTCCACCCTTTATGGCATGCGAATTGCCTCCCCCTGAACCTCTGAACCCCTCTGGCTATGACTTCTTTAAAGTAGAGGAGATAAATTATATTTAAAAAATTAAAGTCCTGGGGCCAGTCCTGGCATGGTGACTAAGGCACTGGACTCCCACATGGTCCCAGACCTGGCAGCTTGTTTTCTCACTTTCCCTCTTGCCTCCTTTCTCTGTCTCTCTCTGGTGAGCATGTATGCCCTGTAGCAAATTGGAAACATAATAATAATGATAATTAATAAAATTAAATAAATAATCCTTTTAAAAAAATTATAGTCCTTGAATTCATTATAGGAATCAGACAAAGGCAGTGATAACAGCAGAGGAGTGACTTCTATGGAAGGGTAATGTTTGGTCAGGGTATTTTTAAAACCCAATGTAGAGATAATCTGAAGAAAATTGAGAAGATGGAGTTTTGTGATACAAGTAACGACTTCACGTTGGTGACGGGGAGATGCCTGTGACACGTACCCCCCGGCCGACTTTCCCTGAGCCCGCCTCTGGCTTCTTCCCTCCTAGAGCCCCAGTAGCAATCGGAGTTGCTGCCATGTCCACAGCCGAGATGCTGACCTCAGGCCTGAAGGGAAGGGGCTTCTCCGTGCTCCACACGTACCAGGACCACTTGTGGTAGGTACAGGGCCGCTCTGTTCTGCACACAGCCAGGGGTGGGTGGGGTGAGGACAGAGTGTCAGAAAGAAGAGATTTGGTCCTAGCCATGCCCTTAGGCACAGACTCTCATTTCTTTGCCAGATGGTGGAGAAAATATTTTTTTTCTCCTCTTCAGACAACAAATTAGAGAGAACGTGTTATTTTCTAGGTGAACTATAGAATGTTTTTAAAAGAATTATTTTATTTAACTTCATTTATTTTAATTTGATCAGAGAGGAACAGAGTGAGCAAGTGATCAAGAGGGGCAGGTGAGAAAGCAAGCCACCAGGTCCAGGACTCAAACCACAGTCGGCCATGTGGGAGTCCAGCGCCCTTAACCACCACGCCACTAGCCGCTCCCAAAGTATAGAATCTTAAAGCTGGTCAAAGACCTTAGACCTTGTCTACTCTGCCTTTAAGTGTTAGTTTTCTTTTCTTTTAAAGAATTATTTTATTTAACTTTGCCAAAGAGGGACAAAGAGAGAGAAAGAGAGAAAGCAAGAAAGCCAGCCACCAGGTCTGGGATATGAACCACGGTTGGCCATGTGGGAGTCCAGTGCCCTCAACCACCACACCACTGCTGGCCCCAGTGTTAGTTTTCTTTATAGCCTGGGCCACCTGGCCTCATCCACCATACACATTTAGGCATCATTTGGCCCTGTGACGAGTGTCCCAGTCCAGGAGAAGCAGGGTAGATCCAGGCCCCAGCGTGGTAAGTTGCTGACGTTTGCATCGTTCAGGTTCCACGTTCCAGATCCCTCCTCCTCACGCAAAGAGCACATTCTGACTGGAACAGTTGCTTTCCAGAGCTCTATACCAGTTCACTTTCTGGTTATTTCCTTGCATTAAACCAAAGCAGTGAGTAGTGCTTTTCTCAAAAGCAGTGTTCTCAGACGTCTGGCCAAGAGGTGTGGCTTCTTGATATATTGGGTTGTCAGGAAAGTCATGACACATTTTTGCACAGAAAAACAGAAAAATACGTCATGACCTTCCCAACGACCCAACAGATTTATCTTGATATCTTCCGGCTCCGTCTTGGATTACTCATTTTTTCAAGGGTAAAATGTAAGGCGCAGTAGCTGGAGGTTCCGCTTCAGCCTATTGTTCCAGCAGAGGTCGGAGGCTCAGGGCCGATGCCCCCTCGCGTCAGTCCTGGCGACCGCGATCAAGTTCATGGTGTCGGGACTGTTTTATTAGTGGCTACTTCTAACTAAACAAGGACTCCTGCCTCGGAGTCCTTCCCCTGCCCCCCTTTAAGAAAAACATGTCTGGTATTTATCTGATCAGAATAGCATAAACCTGCGCTTTGACCTTACTATTAATAATACCAATAAGCCTGACCACAGCTATGGTTAAAAATAGTGTGATTTATATCATCTTAGCTCAGAGGAAGCGTCCTACCTCTCAGCCTGCTCTGTTATGTGGCGTTGCTTTTTTTTTCCATCTTCCTAAGGCTCAGTGGCCTACAGCCATGGTAATCCCTACTCTACAAGTTAGATTGGGTTTGGTTTAACACTGAGTTGGCAGTCCTAGAGAAGTCCAGGTGTTTGGATTTTGTTACACAGTCTGAGCTCTGGGTTTGTACTTCACCAGACCGGTACTATGGGTGCATTTATGATCTTTTTATTTTTCCTAAGTCTGCTAGAGGGCACATGCTTGCCAACCCTGGGGTTGGGGGATCACTCCCCAGGAGGAATGGCCACACCGCAGTCCCTTCTCTTTCATTCTCTTCTTGGGATTTTGGACATGCACACACATGCAGCCAGCATATTTTTCAAGCCTCCAGTTCTGGGGCTTGAACTGCACAGTCGGTCTGTGGGATCCAGCTGTCTTAACCTCTGTGCCACCACCTGGCCCACATTTGTGATCATACTGTTGTTATTTGATTCAAAAGGTTTTACTATGTTGAACTCATATGAAGGAAATACTTTGGGAGCAGTTTTTTCTTTTGTCTTACTCTGTCTCAGAGTATCTACTACTATTATTATTCCTGTGGGCTAAGGAGGACCCAAGAATTAGTGTCCCCATTTCAGAGATGAGGAGACTGAGGCATGGAACTTTCCCAGTCTCAGGATTGAAATGGAGTCAGAATGAGAGCACGGGCGCTCTGCTTTGTCCTGGCCAGTCCTGCTTGTTGGCTCTTGCTACCCCTGACTGCCAGCCGACTCTTCCCCAGCTGGGGCTGGTCAGTGTTGTGCCTGCTGCTTGGCGTTTCTGACGTGCAGTTTTTCCAGGCGATCTGGAGACAAGTCCTCTCCACCTTCCATTGATCCACTGGCACTGGATCCTACAGAGCTCAGTGAAGAGATGGGGTCTGTCCAGGAGGCTCCTGCCCTGCAGGGAGACATGAGGCACCTGACCCTGGAGGGAGAGGAGGAGGTGGACAGGGAGGCTCACTCGGCCTGTGAGGAGAAGTCCCTTTTGGAAGCCTCAGAAGACACCAGTGCTGGGGCCCTGAACCCAGACTGCACAGCCAGCAAAACCCTTCAAGGTACAGTGGTGGGAACAGAAGGGCTCTCAGTTTAGGAGACCGATGTGTTCTTTTTTTTTTTTTTTTTAGAGGTTTTTGCTATAGGGCACGTGCAGTCGCCAGCTAGACAGAGAGAGACAGAAAGCGAGAAATCACCCCCCAGGGAGGATGGCCACGCTGCAGTCTCTTCTCCATTTTCCTCTCGGGATCTTGGGCATGCACACACACGTGCCCGGTGTGAGTTTCAAGCCACCGGGTCCAGGACGTGAACTGCGGTTGACTACGTGGGAGTCCAATGGCATAGCCATTACGCTAACTGCTGGTCCCAAGACCGATGTGTTCTTCATGGGACTGAGGGCCGTGAAGTTCTGGGAGAGGGGAGTTTGCATGGCAATAAGGGCGGTACAGCAGCCCTTTCCATCCTGCCTCGGAGTCCTTCCCACAAGTCATGGGGTCCAGTGCGCCCCAGCATTCTGTCTAGTTCCAGCTACAATGCCCTCTAGGCCTATGTCTGCTCCGACTTCTCTGGGTGAACACTCCTGGCCATGTGGGACTTGGTGGCTTGTCCCTTCTCTGGGGTCAGCCCTTTTTAAAGGCTCAGTGCTCAAGAGAGTCTGGGAGCTTCAGCACCTGGGAACGGTTCCTTTCAGAGTCACAGTGGGGATGGAGCCTGTGGGGAGTTTCCTTGTATTGCACCAGGCATTCAGGCCTCAGGAAGGTTGTGGTTCTTGTCTTTTCCTTGCAGAGCAAATGGATGAACTGTTACAGCGATGCTTCTTGCACGCTTTGAAGTGCCGAGTCAAAAAGGCCGACCTCCCTCTGCTCACCAGCACTCTCCTTGGCAGCCACATGTTCTCCTGCTGGTACGGAGCGGGCGTGGTGGAGCCAGGGCCCCGCTCGCTCCCTCATTTCTTTGCAGGAGGATAGGACAGAGATGGTGGGGCATTTGAGTGGAGAGGAAGGTTGATCTGGCAAATAAATGAAGTGTGGGTTTTAAAAACCTCAATTTTAGCCAGTGAAAGGATAGTGAGAGAATGGAAGGTTCACATTCCCAGGAGTCTCAGAACACGGCTTGTGTTGTGGTGGTTCTTGGCTATCTCACGAATCAGGCTGCATGTCTTATACAGGGAGAGTCCCAGGGCAGCCTCTGCCAGGAGGCTTCTTCCAGAACATTCAGCCTGCTCACACTTCTGAAAAGTAGATGGTCCAGATTAGGTTGGATCAGGTGGAACTCCCCACCCCACCTGAAAGCCACCAGGAGAGGTAGCGTTACTTGTGGATAGAACCTGGTCTTGGAAGACAGGGCACCACCACCCCTCAGTCTTAGCTGTTAGCTCTTGAGTGTTTGGATGTGGTACATTTCAACTAGTTACTGGGCTTCTTTGAGCCTTCATTTCCAGTACTCATGGGGTTGCTATACATTTGAAACTGCCTACGTGTAATAAGCACTTGATGAATACCATCATGTCAGGGGGTTGCTTATTGATTTTCACCCTGAGATTGAACTTCTTTCTTTTTGAGACTCTTGTTCTATTTTTTATTTGTTTTTAGTAAATTTTATTTCTTCCATGAGATAGATGCATGTATCATGTATGCCTGTGCACACACACACGTACAGATAGGCACCCACAGTGGGGTCTTCATCCTGCAGAACGCCCCTGGCCTCAGCCAGACTGGATCACAGGCACCTACGCAGGCCTCCAGCATGTCCTGCGCAGGAAAGCCCCGGGATTTGAGCCCAGGACCCTCCCCTGTGGGTCTAGCAGTACAAAGTGTGTTACTGCTGTGTCTCTGTCTGATTTTACTCTTTTTAATTTTTTAAATAGCTATTTTAATTTTATTTATTATCATTATTTTTTATTTTGACCACAGAGAGACAGAGAAAGAGAAGGAAAGTGAGAAAGCAAGTAGCCAGGTCTAGGACTCGAACTGCAGTCGGGCATGTGGGAATCTGTCACCTTAACCACCATATTGCCTGACGGCCCCTTACTTCCACTTACTTCCCATATGACTTTTTTTTTTTAAATTAATTAGTTTATTTAATTCCATTTGTTATTATTTTTTAATTTGAACAGAGAGACAGAGAGTGTGAAAGGGAAAGTGCAAGCTGCCAGGTCCGGAACTCGAACCGAGCATACAGAGAGAAAGAGAAAGTGAGAAAGCAAGCTGCCAGAGCTAGGACTCGAACTGTGTCAGCCATGTGGGAGTGTCCAACACCTTAACCACCATGCTACCTGCTAGTCTCCCCCCCATGATTTCTTTAATACATCCTACAAAGTCTGGCATCTGCAGTGTGTAGTGGGATGTTGGTTATTTGCCCTAACCTCACTGGGTTGCAAGTAACTACAATAGGGGTCTCCAAATAGTCTCTAGAATAGAAGTTCTTACTCTGCAGTGGATTCTAGAAGGGCTCCCTGCGAATCCCACTGCTACTATATGTTGAATCTTGAGAGAAAATGTCAGTTCTAGGGAGAGGGCAAGATTGCAACTCTCATCAGGAACCTCCCTCCAAAACAAATTGCTCCCGGGCAGGCAGAGGTCAGCAGACTCTCTCTAAAGGGCCAGATGGTAACTGTTTCGGGTTGTTCAGGCCATACAGTCTCGGTTGCCACTACTCCCCTCTGCCAGTGCGGTGCTGATGTGATTGTGGAGGGTAGACAAGTGACGGGAGTGTGATAGGAAGTTAGCTAGCAGTGAGCTGGTCACCCTAAGGAAATAGCAGAAGGCAGGTAACTCTCTCATCCTGTGATGAGCAGCTGGGTTTTGCCCCAGGGTGTAGGTTGCTGACCCTGCTCTAAGCCCAGCTGTCCACTGGCCAGCGTGGTGTTGGAAGGTTGGCCTTGAGAAGGAACTTTTGGGTCCACAGAAGGGTGTCTGGTTAGAGAGGTAGCTAAGGCTATAGTCAATACAATAGCTGCTGTTAGCCACCTGTGCTGTTTTAAATTTAAATTAATTAAAAGTAAATTAAATTTGAAATCTTATTTCCTTGGTCACATTAATCTCCTAGTGTATCGGACCACATAGGCAGGGACATTTGTGGGAATTTCACATGGGCAGCAGCGATCTAGCATCCCATGGACTGCATCCCTCTTGGATGCCGCCATTGGACAGAAAGTTCTGGAACAATTGCTGTCTCTGAATGTGGGGGAGGAAGGCTGAGGAAAAAGGCCCCCCTCTAAGTGAGGCAGGTCCTGCCACTGCCGCTCGCTTGCTTGACGTGCCTTTTCCATCTGCCATCAGCCCTGAAGGACAATACCTGGACATCAAGAAGTCAAGCTACAAAAAGGTAAGCAAGTAGCTTCTTTGCACATTCACAGAGTCGCATAGGGGCACATGCGACGTGAGCCAGATGGACGTGGGGAAGCCCTGTCTACGGGGCGAGAGTTTCACTTTTTGATTCCTGGTATGAGGGATAAAGGAAACTCCCTGGATGGAGGCAGCTGGTGGCACCCGCTCCTCTCTCCCCTTCCTGCCGTTTTGTATCTGATTAGGCTGCTGAAAGCGTCACCCATTTGCCTCTAGCAGCTCCATGCTCCCTGGCCTTCAAGGTGGGGGCCTCCCAGGTCCTAGTCCGATGAGGGCAGGGACTGCCCTGTCCCGGCGCGATTTCTGCCTGGTGCGGTCTGGCACATCCTCGGTGCTCAGGATGTGTGTGGAATCCACAAGGTCCCCGACCACTGCCCTCTCTCCCTCAGCTCTCTAAGTTCCTGCAGCAAATGCAGCAGGAGCAGGTTATACAGGTGAAGGAGCTGAGCAAAGGGGTGGAGAGCGTTGTGGCTGTGGACTGGAAGCACCCAAGGTGAGTGCAAGGGGCCTGCTCACCACAGCTCAGCCGCCCCAGGGCGCCCGGGCCACAGACTGGGGATTGCCGAGATGCTAGTATAAATTGTGTTTTTTTCTTTCCTTCTGCCGGGTTTTAGGATCACATCTTTCGTCATACCCGAGCCCTCCCCGACCTCCCAGACTGTCCAGGAGGGTAGCAGGGAACAGCCCTATCACCCTCCAGATATAAAATCCCTCTACTGTGTCCCAGCCAGCATGACCCTGCTCTTCCAGGAGTCTGGCCACAAGTGAGTTTTTGGAGAGCAGCTTTCTCTGCCTGCTTGGTGTTCCGGCCTCAGTTCCTCTCGACCTGAGTAGTGTTCTTCTGTGACTGGCAAAACCTGTCTTGCCCTGTTCTCTCTT